TCGGCATTATACAAAATTCTGCTTAGTCCTGGTTAATAAGCACCTCCTAAAATTGTCACACAGCTAAGTAGAGAAGTACGTACCATTTTTTTTTCAGTAAAATTGATTAGAGAAGTACGTACTGTTATGTTCAATAAAACTGACTCAGTAAAAAAGCTGAAGGCACTGTTTCTTAGTAAACTTCATATCCTCTCATGAGAAAACTCACACACACGGCGCTTCCAAGAATAAAACAGCTCTTGTGCACTTCTAAACACTGCAACTTGAGCTACCCGAAAGTGGAATTAAATGCATAAAGAGCCAGAAAAATTCCGGCACTTATGGGCTCCATATTCTCCCTACGATGAAAAACCACTACGCTATTTCCTTGTGCTGGGAAATGACGAGTGCTGAACCCAGGGACTCACTGAATCCCATGCCCAGCTGGTACCTCTTGGCAGCTTGTTGTACTCACTCGTCTCTTCCAAGCAGCCGCTGAAGGAGCACGCGCCTGACGACTGGCACAGAACGTCTGTAGTGTGATGAAGAACACTCGTTTACGACTTTACGAACCTATTTCTTCTCATCTGTTAGGCAATAACCATTATCGTTCTGAAAACACATCACAGTGCTGCAGCGGTTACGTGTCGTTCCTCAGTCACGCTGTCTAAACCAGCCGAAAGACGTGCAGCCTCCCAAGTGACCCCCGTAGGATGGTGCACAGTAAGAACAACCGGCTGTATGACCTAAACCCCATTCAGAAAAGGAGAGGCTGGTTCTTTACCTCTTTGTTTATTTCGTCACTAAATGTTGAACAGAAGCGGACACACGCACACAAAACAATCCATTAAAGTGACCTTTTTGCCTGGTGTTCTTTCCCTTCAAAACTTATTTCTAAATGGTGACACAGTTCTTAAAGCATGCACCACTCCCCGTTTCCAGTACTTTCAGTCTCCATGGACAAGAAACCACACGTCATTTCTACCAAACTGCTGTGTCGGTTGGTAGCTAAGGGTAGAGCAGTGTGCTGTTATCACTGCCCAGTCGCTTCGGTGTTTTATTACAAGTTCAGACTTTACCAAGCCAGGTAGTTGCTGTTGGCTGTTGGCTTTCCTAAGCAATCACGTCGCAAAACGGAAGAATTATTTTAGGCAAATTCAATGACAAAGCATTTTCCATGGTATTAAGTTTTGCCATTGTGGTAGGAACTAGCAAACTCGAGAAAACACACACAAAAAAGCAGAAATAGGGGAAAAACACAGTTTCCACAAAATGTTAGGTTCATCTTATCTTTAAGACTTTATTATTTATGGATAAAATTTTCAACATCTACATGCATGACTCGGGAGCCTAAGTCTCACGGTAGTAACCAAAAAGTAACAACTCCTGCTAAATTTGTAAAAAAAAGTTTTCAGGAATTTATTTACAAGACAATCTGTTTTGACATAGGCCTCACTAAGTGGTATCTATACACCTCTTCACTCGTCTAAACATCACAGAAATGTTTTGCTCCTTGTCACGCTCATGATATTCAGATAGAATCTGAGATTCACGATATCGTGATACTATACCTTTAAAAAGCATCTGTAGTTTTTAAATCTATTTTACATTTCTTATATCGGATAACGCAAGAACTACCAAAACTCACACCACAAATACAGTGTGCCCCTCACGCAGCGTCAAACACGTCAAAAGACGCTGCCAGAGAAAACCTGTTGTTAAACTCAGCTCTAGGGACCCCAGGAATCTGGGGGGTCCCACACAGAGACCCAGCTAAATCCAGTCCCACTTGGATTCCCAAGGAACTACAGAAGCAAGCCCCCAGTGAAAGCGCCTGTTCCTAGCGAGCCCAGGCAGGTAACAGACCGGCGATGGGCAGTCCAGCGGCACGGCAGCGTTCCAGCTTCACTCCGGGCAAAGCGCTGCTCTCGCAGGAGAGGAGCCGGCGGCAGAGCCCCGCGCAGCCCCGCCGCACAGCCTGCCTCGCGTCGGCACCCGGACTGACCCCCTCGGCCCTCCCCAGTTAGCCACAGCCCTTCAGGAGCAGCTCTCCTGCAAGTACGCTGGAATTAAAGCCATTTTAACACGGAACAAGCCTTGAATAGCTACATGGAATCGGCGTAGTTAACTGCGTGCTGGTTAGTTCCTCTTCTTCTCACAAAATCCCAAAGGGTAGGTAACTAATTTCTGCAAAAGCTCAGGTTCCCAGGTGGCTTTCAGGGTTAACCACAGGTATAAACAGCAGCAATACTTTAACCTAAAAGGAATATAAAAGTGAAACAGTCTGCAACTAAACTAACAAGAAAGATCAAATCTCTTGGTCTACCAGAGATTAAAAAAAAAAAATAAATAAAAAGGCATATTTGGCTTCTGATAAGCATTTGCTGTTTGGGAGGAATGATTTGTCAACGTTGCAGAAGATAGTATGTTGAATAGTTAGTTTATGCCAACTGCACAAGGTAACAAGAGAGGCCCAGGATAGTAAAGAGAAGATAAGGAATATTTAGACAAGTTACTTAACAAGGCACAATAGTTGATTTATGGCCTGAATGAAAGCCTACTGAAAGTATTCCACTTGATTTCAGCAGGTTTTAAATCAAGTTGAGCCTTAGGGGGAAAAAAATGCAGAGATAAAATTTTTATTAACAGTTCCAGCTTTACTGCAAAAAGCCAGCTAAATGAAAATTTGAAGTTTACGTCTGGCAAACGATCCTCCACAAGAAGAATGTGCTGTCGCCGCATTTGCTAACACACCAAATTCTGCCACCATAACCGCCACCCAGAGCTGTTAAAGGAACAAGGAGCCCATGCACTCTTCAAAAATACGATGTCAAACCACTGAAAACACTGAACACTGGGCGGGTGGGGGATGTTCAGTTCAAATGAAAAAAATATTGCAAGAAACAATGAGTAGAGCGACCTACAAGACATACACGTTTTGTTCAACTTTGCGTGAACTTGTGTTTTAAAGTGAATCTTTTATTAGTAATATCACCAAACATGAGCCTAACTAAATCCATTAACAGCAATTCTTAAACTCTTAACAGTACTTGAGTGATACACAAAAAAATGAAAAAATTAATTTATTTGAGTGCTTCACCTATAGACAAGCTGCAGTTGTTTCTTCTGTAGCGTGTCCAAAGCATTCCAGTCCAATCTCTTGACAGCACCTTAATACTCCAAATGCCCCATATTATCAGTTCTAGATCACTTGCTACTAGGTATGAGCCAGTCATGCAAGAAACACCCCTGTTGGGGGTCTTCAGAATCAAAACGACTGAGCTGATAATTAAAACTATCATCTCATTTTTAACAAAAAGCTCCTGAGAAGCAATTCGATTCAGATGAGCAGGAAACTACCAAGAAGCTTCTGATGCCCTTGTTTGTACCACATTATTCTATCAGTTGTCAACTTTAGCAGCTGCATTGATAAAATATCTCTTATTAGCCAACTGTAAACATCAATGTTTATAGTCCTACTGTAAACAATCACGGAATATAGCAACAGATTCCAAAATACAAGAAGAGAAAATTAGGACACAGAAAACCAGCACACAGTACCCGTGATAAATCTGACTATGAAGAGTAGAAGACGAGGAAAAAAAAAAGGAAGGGCAGTTCTTCAGAGCTTCGGGTCTGGAAGCGGCCAAAACACTTGTATTTCTTTCACAGAACAGTGCAGAAAAGAGACACTGTGTTACCACGAAATTTGTCATATCGTCACGGTGATATTAAACAGCATAAACACAACAGAAGGTTAATCAGGAACCAGAAGTATCAGTCCAGAAACCCCACAGCAAAAATAAGACTAAAAAACCCCACCCATCATGCTAATCATAAAACGTTCATATCAACTACAACAATTTCCTTCTCAACCCGAGTTCTTTATACATCACAAATCACCGCTGGGGATGGGCAGATCAAAGCTAACAAGCCTCAAGTTCACGGCTGAGGACCTGATGGCACTCTCATCACGGTGGCCCAAACCCCAACCCAGGTGGACACCAGGGGGGGCAGCCACTGCTGCTGCCTGGAGTGCCTCCGGAACGTACAGCACCTGACTCGGCCATGTATTTTAAAGCTAGTTTGGGTATAGCTACCCAAAGAATAGGAAAAATATTAGAAATGATGAAGGAAGGAAGGAAGGAAGGAAGGGCAGAGGGTGGGGAAAAAAAAAAAAAAAAAGGTCTTTGAAACTTTCCTTTTATGCTTTGCTTTCTCCCATCTACCCCAAAATGAACTTCTGTATTTGGTGCACCAAGCGGAAGGTTTAGGAAGCAAGGCTGCTCTCTAGACCCATCAAAAGGACAAATATTTTCAAAGCATGACTTCCTGTTCCAAGTTCAAAGTTACCATGATGTGACAAAGCAGCAGAACACAGCAAAAGCACGAGGTGAATGAGAACACACTTGAAGGTTCTAAACGTTGTGCCCTAAAAATACCACTGTAGCGCTGAGGTCCGTTGTTAACTGCTGGAGTTCTTCACACACCTGCCCCTAAGCATCTGCAGGCTCCTATTTCTTTCACCACAAGCAGTACTCGAGATTTTCATAATGGCTTTAGTATTCTGTGCCATCCCTTCAGAGAGTGAAAGGTAAACCTCTCAGGGTAAGAACGCTGGTAATTTTTTACCATGTTACTGTGAGACTGTAAGTAAAAATTCATAACTGTGAAACTCCCAATACTGCAGAATTGCATTTAAAATATTACAATTGTATTACAGACTGCTAAGATGAAATATTTGATCACTTCCCCTCGGGAGTGTGTGCAGGGGAATACCTCTGAAATGCCTTCTGGCCTTTCTTTCACTTCACATATATCGACAGTTTCTAAACTACGAAGGAATTTAAAGCTTGCTTCCAGAGAATACTATGGAAGAGGATTCCAATTAAGTATTACAGCGTATATGCTACATCTGATAAAAGAAAGCTAAATCTCACTTGTATGATAAACTTCTTTGGAATGAAATTACCTATTACACACACAGGAGAATACCATCAGACCAGATCATATGCTCTGACCTTTCTGTTTTTGATTCACTGTCAGCTCGGTAGTGTTCAAGGCCTTGGTAAAGAGACTGCAGCTCTGCTTGAAGTCCTTTTTCCCGTTCTATGCTTCCTTCATAAAATTTAATCTCCTTTTCCATCGCTTTTACTTTTTCTTCCATCACCTTAAATTCATGGAGTACCAAATAGCTGACTCCGCAGTATTTACACACTGTCTCATCCCGGGACATCTAGAAGAAAAAATTGTAAGAAACAAGTTGAACCAAAAAAAAATCTGAACGACACTAAATAATAATAACAACTCTGAGCAGTTTAAACCATTTACTGCTCTGAAGCATTTATGACCAGATGATGTTACTGCTTTAACAAATAATGAAGACAAAATGGTACATTAGCAAATGAAATCAAGCTGCAGCAGTGCTTTTGCTTACTGGAAGCTTCGAAAGATACATTAACTATGCCATTTACTATGTGGGAACTCCTGCTGGAATTCTAAATAGAAGTACCTCTGAATTATGTTCGATGTATTAATTTAAAATAAAATGCTGTGTTTTACAAAGTTCTCTGCTTAACACATTTGCGATCGCCTGAGCCAGAAAAGTGTTATTTACTGCGGTTTTTTGATAACGCATATCCAGTTGAAGTAGGCAAGAGGAGAAGTGGAAAGTGAATACAATGATGTCACCCAGCAATCTTTATAAAAATAATTCAGATGAGTAAGGGACTAATTATGATGATGCAGCATCCATGGCACTGGAGTGTTGTGGAAAATGTAATCCATTTACTAGGTATGAGGTATTCATCACTCATTAAAAAAATACAGAGTAAGTACTACATATCTCGTTGAAAGACCATTTCTTAAATTGAGAAACATACTTTTCTAAGGGATCAAATGCTGAAGCTTTGCCGTAAGCCAGGCTCCATAAACAGGAACAGATGCACTCTTTGATACGTACTTGTTAGCGTCTCAGTTATCCCTGTGTATTTGAATCATTCTCACTTCCAGAAAAACACGCTCAGTTTACAAGTGGCGCGGAACTGAACCTGCACAAGCAAGGGATATTGAGTAAACGCACCAGCCCCCCCAAGCCAAGGAGGTCTGACGCTTCTGTAGGGGACATGCGAGCATCTGCTCACCGGCCCAGACCCCCGAACACGACAGGTATGACCCTGCTCTTGGGCGACAGCATAAACACACTCGAGAGGAGGAGGTTAGAACCCAGACTAGATCAGAGGGGCGCCCATAACCCAGCTAAAGAGACAACCTCAAAGCAACCAACATAGAAAGGTCTTGGTAAGCCTGGAGACGCGGAAGGTGGAAAACGGGCGGCAGCTGGAAGAGCAGTTGTGTGTTTGGGTATCGACAGCTTAAGACGCGCTTTAACCTTTTTTGCAATTATCAACTGTTACAAGGACTTTAACACAACGACTTAGGAAAATCAGAAAGCTGGAAAACTGCAAACAGTTTAGGTCAAAGAATGTAAGAATCCCTTGTTTTACAGAAAAGGAAAAAAAGAAAAGATACTTTTGAGACACTGGGATAAATCGAAAGAGATCATACTTAAAGAAAACAGCTTTCAAAAGTTATAACCTAAAGACTCATCATCCCATGATTCAATAATCTCTAGCACTTTAAATATAGCTTGATAAAAACGATATTTCAGGATGCTCTGGAATTACCAGGCCAAGCTTTATTTTCCGATTTCTTAGTTTCGCCCCAGTTTAAAATACCCCTAGTTACAGTTGCTCTGAATGAGCTGAAAATGCAAGTTTATTTTTCCTGGCAGCTGCAAACTGTGCTTGGAAATATGAAACTGTTATTCAGGATAACTACCATAAAGTTCCAAAGCACTAAAATTACTATATTGAAAAAGGACAAAATGAGCTGTTATGAGGAGCACAGGAGGGGGGCTCTTATCCCCAAAAAGAACACCGTGCTCTCTTGCAGCACCACCGCTGCTGTCTTTCAAATAAACAGTTACAGCAATTTCACTGGGTACTGGGATTAAAAACAAACAATTGGGGTCCTGAACTGAAAATGTTTTATGCAAGTACTGAACTTTTTCGGTTTCAAATTCAATTTCGTTACTGAACTTAAAAATAAATGAAGTCATAGAACAATAAATACTACCCATCTGGACTTAGTGGGAAATGGGTCCCGTTCTTCACGCCCATTCCTCAGGTTAAGTGAAAACTTGAAAGGACTTCAGATCAGGTTGGATTTTTCAAATACTTGCTATATAGTGAAAAAAAAAAAAAAAATCACAGGAAAGCCTGAGGGCTTTGTATTACTGCAGTAAGGAAAAAAAATCTTTTAATCAGATCCTTGCTTCTGTACAAGCACAGTTATCCTGCATCCACTGCATTATACGATATATAGACAAGAACTAGCTCTAAAACATCTATCCGTAGTGTTAGCAGCACTTTCTTAACACCAGTAATGAATCTGGCACGGGTTGAGCGATGCTCAAGAGGCAAGCTAGCCCACGCTAAATTCCATGCTGCAGTACTTTAACGTCAATAGCAAGCTAACTAATTTAAATCCAGTATGCCCAATATGCCTAGAAAATTAACAGCCCACTTGAAAGCGAAAACCTCCAAAAAGCAAGGCCTGAACCGGGCAGAGCAAGGGGAGTACCAATGTGAATTCCCATCCTAAATCCAAGACTCCCCTCTCATGCCCATAGTGGTCAAATCACAAGCAGGACATTCTCTCTCTCTTTTTTTTTTCCTCCTCCCCACCCCGTCCCTCTCTTACATTGTCAACACCACAACCTGAGTTCTCCTCACTGATACTTAAAACACCTCCTGAAATTCCTGAGCTGTTTGGACATTTTTCAGAAGCTACTGAAGCTCCACACAGACGGGGACAGTGAACTGCTGTCGAGCTGTAGATGCTGGCTTCGTTCAGCCAAAGTAATGACAAAGCTATCTTAGGGCTACACCAATTTAAAGGTCAGGGCCAGAAAGCATTTTATAGCTTTGAAGAATACTGACAAGCGAAATGTTTTGGGGTTTTGCAGAGTTTCCAAATGAAATAGCATTACTTTGTATTTCTCTATTGTCACCCTTCAGTAATTTGTGAACCAGAACGATTGGTCCTTTGTAATCGATTCTGACACTGAGGGCAGAAATATTCAAGTGTCTAAAAGTTTTAGACAAACTAGGTAGGCATGAAACACTTCCTAAGTTCCCTGATGAAGAAAACTCTGGAGTGTGAGCGCAGTCCTCATCAGATATCAGATAATCCGTACAGAAGAGACCCTTACAAACGGTCTGTCCGGGAGAAAACATTCCATTAGACCTTCTATCTTGGACACCAAAGTTGAGCAACCATTAGACAAAAGTCTGTAGGAAACAGATTTTCATTAGTTCTTGTGCTTACAAAGCTACCTTTTCTGGAATGATACTATCACTGAGTAACCACCAAGAACGCGTATTACATACACAGCGATTTCTGTTTTCAGATTCCATATTTCACTGTTTACTTTTGAGCAAAAGACTGTTGTCATCTTCTTAAATGCAAAGCAGAAAAAAAATCAGGGGGAAAGCAGAGTTTGGAAAGAATAGAAAAGGAAACTATCAAACTCTAACTGGAAAGGGGACTGTGGATGTCCCTAGCAGTGAGACTAAGCAGTGAATAGAAAAAAAAAAATCAATTAGGAATTAAAAAAAAAAAAACCAAACAGAAGGTAATTTTAGTATTGTGGTTTTGGTCCGCCTGGACAGGGAAACTCAGGGCAAACGGGACTTGAAAATAGAGCACAGGGATCCTAAAAAACCCTGCTATTTGAGTTAGCACGACTGCAGTACTGCGAGCACGGTAACAACATCAAAAGAAAAGCAAACTGACTGAGGACAAAGTGCTTGAACTAGGAAGAGATTTGATCCACGAGATTTTGAGCTACGGTTCTGATACACGTTACACCAGATGCTATAAAGAAAGGACAAGAGCCACATCCAAGGTATCACAAGGCAGCGTTTCTCGCTGCGATACTCCAGCAGCTGTTCCACTCCAGCAGCTGTTGGAGTAGTTTCAACTCAGAGCTGCGTTCGGTTTTGGAAGAACTAATATTATTCCATGGTTACACAGATTTCTTTGGGTACCAAGGGCAAGTGGAGAAGTGAGCCAAGATGGATAGTCACTCCAATTACATCTGTCTGACTCAGTACCATAAGCATCTGTAGAGCACAAGGTATAAGGAAAAAAAAAGAAAAAAGAAAAAAAATTACTTTGGTAGTCTGGACCATTTTTAGCCTTTTGAATGACAAGACAGGAATTTATATCCTTTCAAATTGACCAAATAACTACAGGGAGCGTCAGCTCGTGCACTGCTATTCTTCTCTGCTCTGTCAGATTCCACCCACAAAAATTACCACGATAAAGAGCTAAATTATTGTTAAAAGAAAAACAATCCACTTTCTCACTTAGCAGTGCCATGGTATTAGAACAACCAGCATATGGATCACTTATGCTAGAAATAGTCCGTTACAAGCAGCTAATAAATAGCCGTGACTCTTAAAAGCCAGAACTTCAGTCCTCAAATAATGAGATTCTTTCAAAAAGCTGTGAGTATGTTTCTGTGCATCACTGAAATAAAAGCACAGAGCCACGAGCACAGATGTACTCCTTGTACGTTCATTTTACAGCGCAGGGGAGGGGGAGCCTAAGGGAACTGCAGCACTCGCCATCCTCCTGGCATCACGCAGTGCTCCTCAGGCACATGACACAGTAATAGCTGCTCTTGCTCCCTCCCCAGTTTTCTGTCAGGTCTGAGACCGCTTTAGCAAGGACTGGCCAAATCACAAACAGAAAAAAAACCACCAAACACCACCCCCCCCGCATTTGTACTGGTATCCAGACTACACTTGTATCAGAACAATACAGAAAATGAAAATGAAAAGATCATTATGCTGCAGCTGGGTGCACTGAAATTATTTCTGTATATCGATTGCTCTATTCTGCCTCTGCTTGATTCTACCTTATCTACTTTCTTTTTGGCTTACCCCTCCTCTGCCACACTACTTTCGTTTCTCTCACACTGTTTATCCCTCTTCCTGACAAACCAGCTAATCCCTGTTAGACGAAAAGAAATCATTACTCAAGCCACACAACTGATTTTCTAGGAAGGAAGTGGAACCTTCTGCTGTATATGCAAAACTGAAGAGTTATTTGACTGAAATGGATCTCTTTTTTATTCAAAGAAAGATTTTTAAGAGTCTCCGCAGA